GTGTGTGTGTGTGTGTGTGTGTGTGTGTGTGTGTCATGGGATGTATTCTACTAAATGACATGTTGCTGTGGTTAATGAGTGAATTGTTCATTCTGTGTCTGTTCTTGTCAGTGGTTTGGTAACCTAGTGACCATGCAGTGGTGGAATGATCTGTGGCTGAATGAAGGTTTTGCCAAGTTCATGGAGTTTGTGTCTGTTAACATCACCAATCCTGAACTGCAAGTTGTAAGTTTTTGTAAAATTGGTGGCCCTTGCTGAAGGACTGGCATTTTATTTCCATACTCACTATTTTAAAAACACTCAGCATGAGTTGGATGATAGTCTGTGCTAATATGAAGCCCAATCTTCTTTGTGCCACAGGAGGATTATTTCTTGGGGAAGTGTTTCGAGGCCATGGAGGTAGACTCCTTAAGCTCCTCTCACCCAGTGTCCACACCGGTGGAGAACCCTGCTCAGATACAGGAAATGTTTGATGATGTTTCCTATGACAAGGTGCATAATAAAACTTAGGAATGTTTTCTTTTTCTTGCTATTGAAACTCCATCAAAAGCTTCTTAAAATCATGTTACAAATGGTGAATGTCATTTCAGGGGGCTTGTATTCTGAACATGCTGAGAGAGTTTCTGACCCCAGATGCCTTCAAATTGGGCATTGTGAGATACCTAAAACGCTATAGTTACCAGAATACGGTCAATAGTAACCTGTGGGAAAGTCTGACCAATGTGAGTACAAATGACATGTGTGATGCAGATGCATGAAACTCTGCAGTAAACTGTGTAGGCTTTCTTATAATTCATTAGGTGCGGTCACATTTACAGTTGTTCAGCAAATGTTCATGGGCAAAATCCAGTCATTTTAATAGGAATCCATGCAACCTAAGTTGGTTAAGCAAATTCGCCACATTGACCAAAAGAAAGCTGCTTGTTTTATAAAAGACTTCTTTGTGAGCTGTGCTTCTTACTACACTATTGACAGTGGACCTTTTTAGGCTGCAAAATTTCACAGAGTGACTGTAACTTAAGAGTACCAGATCAAAATGTCTCGTGATGTAGTGAGTGTTTTCGGTGTCTCTCTTTGTTATAGGTGTGTGAATCTGATGGTCTGGATGAGGGCAGACTGAAGGGTGATGAGTCTTGCCGGCGCTCAGTCTCACACTCTGGAGCTTCTGTGAGTAAATCATTAAGCTGAACTCTCTTTACCCTGTTTTTAACTGGTGTTGTGATGTATTTCTATGATATTGTATCTCTTAGAAATGGCACTCTGAGGATGAGCTGGATGTTAAGGCTATGATGGAGACATGGACATTGCAGGAGGGCTTTCCACTCATTACGGTGGAGGTCAGAGGTCGCGAAGTCAGACTAAGTCAAGAGCGTTACCTCAAGAGTGATGACCCCTCACAAACATCTAGGTTCATTATTAATATCAAAGATCTACATTTTCTTCTGAAGCCTGTTTAACCTGAGAGTGATTTTATATTTTTATATGATTTATTTAGGGTTTATGCTTTTGAAAATGTGCTTGCAATTGAGATGTATTACCAGTCCAAATAAGATGTCAACTTCTTGACATGGATTAAGTTTGGAATAAGTGGAATAAGCAGCAGTGAATAATACATACCATGAATGAAAGTCACGTGACATGTGGCCATACTCGGAATTAGTGCTCTGCATTTATCCCATCCAAAGTGCACACACACAGCAGTGAACACACACCCGGAGCAGTGGGCAGCCATTTTTTGCTGCGGCACCCGGGGAGCAGTTGGGGGTTCAGTGCCTTGCTCAGTCGTGGTATTGAAGGTGGAAGAGAGCGCTGTACATTCACTCCCCCCACCTACAATCCCTGCCGGTACGAGACTCGAACCCACAACCTTGGGTTACGAGTCCGACTCTCTAACCATTAGGCCACGACTTCCCCCAAATGAATGAGATGAATTATCAATGCATGAATCCAAGTCTCTCAATTCTTGACACTGTTTTTCCATGCATCATTTTAAAAAATTATATCCACAGAGATAAATAATTTCCAAAGTGAAATCGCTCACAGTAACAAATGCCTCTGTTGTACAGGAGATGCATTGACACATTGCCAGTGGTCACTGTCGCTCATGTTACCATAAATCGTGAACTCTGAAAATGAATAACGTCCATTAGTTTGTCACAGCAAGTCGTGCTGTGTATACATGGGACTTTATAAAGATTTATTGAATTACTTTCAGACTCTTATTTTTCCTTTTTAACGCTTGTTTGTGAGTTTGGCTAAATCTTTCATTCTTGATCTTTTTTTACAGCTTTCTGTGGCACGTTCCATTGACTTACATTACCAGCGGCTCAACCACAGTGCACCGCTTCCTGCTTAAGACCAAAACAGGTATTTGTTTTAATAGAATTTTTTTGTAATATTATGAATTTTGTTCTAATAGTATTATATAAATTGTTTTCATAATAATTTAATGACATTCATTTTCAAGTTTTTAAAAAGTCAAATGTTTAGAGAGATGACTTCACATCTCTTCAGACAACACAAGGTCTGAAGCACTGTAGCACTGATTTCTAACAGCTTTGTTGATTATGTCATGATAGACGTGCTGTATCTGCCAGAGGAGGTGGACTGGATCAAGTTTAATGTGGACATGAGTGGATATTACATTGTGCACTATGAGGGTTCTGGCTGGGATGACCTCATCACGCTGCTCAAACACAATCACACGGCGCTCAGCAGCAATGACCGGGCCAGCCTCATCAACAACGCCTTCCAGCTGGTCAGGTCAGTCCTCAGTCATCTGCGCATGTGCTCTTATTAGTCAGTGAGAAGAAAATGTATCAAGAGTCAGACAAGTAAAGTACTGCAGATCATTCCATAAAAGTGTTGGCAAGTTATCATGCCCTGGTTGATTTAAAAACACCCTCCCTCCATGTGTTCTGGACAGTGTTGGGAAGCTTCCCCTGGATAAGGCTTTAGACCTGACCCTGTATCTAAGCAAAGAGACTGAGATTATGCCAGTGACACAGGGCTTCAGTGAGCTTGTGCCTCTGTACAAACTGATGGAGAAGAGAGACATGGTGGAGCTGGAGAATCAGATGAAGGTCAGTGAGTGAGCATTCATATTTCACCTCCTAGCTTGTGGATTAATTCATTCAGGCTTGAAATCAGCCTCTTTTCAGTCTGTGCAATTCTGATAATAAAACTAAAAAATAGCTTAATAACATTTAATAATACATAGTACATACAGTAAAAACGGTAATATTGTGAACTATTGTTACAATTTACAATAACTGATTTCTCTTTTAATACATTTAATATAATACATTTCTGTGATTGCAAAGCTGAATTTTCAGCAGCCATTACTCCAGTCTTCAGTGTCCCATGATCCTTCAGAAATCATTCTAATATACTGATTTGGTGCACGTGAAATATTGGAAATGTGTTGTTTTAAAAAGGCCTTGTTGGTTGTTTAATTAAAAAAAACTGACCAACAAGGGCTTTCATCTTTCTTTCTTTTTTCTTTGCTTGTTTGTTTTGAAAAGTTTATCAACTGTTTATCGTGATTATGTAAAGCATATTAAACGATCATTTTGAATGAAATGAGTTGTATAAATAAACTGGCCATGCTTTCTTCCCTGCTGTAGATGTGTAACAAATGTTGATTGTCTCGCTGTGGTCCAGGGGTACATACTGCAGCTGTTCAGGAAGCTCATAGACCAGCAGTCGTGGACTGATGATGGCTCTGTGTCTCAGAGGATGCTGCGCAGCTACCTCCTCCTGTTTGGCTGTGTGCGGGGTCATCCTCCCTGTGTCAGCACCGCTACACACCTCTTCAACCAGTGGAGGGACTCAGATGGCAATATGAGGTTAGTGCTCATCGTCCATTTCTGAAATTTCTTTTTAAACTGTTACCATTAGGATGAAAACTTTGGAAAAGTAACAGCATGTTTTCTTTTTCCTCTCCAAATGAATGAAACAGTCAAGAGAAATTTCTGACCTTTTTTGTCTTTCCATCCTCTAGTCTTCCCAATGACGTGACTATGGCTGTGTTTTCTGTTGGCGCCCGAACTGAGGATGGCTGGAAGTTCCTGTTTGAGAAGTACAAGGAGTCTATGTATGTCTCGATGAAGAACAGGATAAAGATGGCCCTCACGACCAGCCCTCTCGATCACAAGCTAAAATGGTGAGACATTCAGATAAACATCAGTTTAAGAAAATAAGTATAATCACTAATGTCATCTTTTCTTTGTGTCAGGATGATGGAGCAGAGTCTGGTGGGAGAGGTGATGAAGACTCAGGATCTTCCATATGTTGTGACTTCAGTCAGTAAAAATCCTAAGGCCTACAAACACGCATGGGACTTTTTAAAAGCTAACTGGGACGCTCTAATAAAGAAGTGAGATGCTGATTTAATTAGACACAGTAGTGGTACGTTGTGAGCCCTTTAATGACTACAGACTTTTGTTCATAGGTTTGATCTTGGCTCACACTCTATAGCGCACATGGTAGTAGGAGTGACCAACCAGTATTCCACCAGAGAAATGCTAGCTGAGGTAGGTATTTCTTTTTAGCCAAACAATTAATTGGGAGCTTTCATCAGTTGGTCTAGACCAAAAACATATCTGATCCTGTAATCAGAAAACTTTATTATATTACATAGAGCGTGCTTCTCTGCTCCGTCAGGTTCGTAGTTTCTTCAGTTCCTTGCGGACTGAGACTGGAGCAGAACTGAGATGTATTCAGCAAGCCTTGGAGAACATTGAAGAGAACATTCGCTGGATGGACAATAACCGCCCCCTACTGAAGGCCTGGCTGCGCAGACACTATGACCAGCACAAAAATACAGAGCTGTGAAGCACTTGTACTGTAAAAGTCATGGCTGTATACATTTTATTTTGCAATTTAAAATGATGCAAGAATGTTGATAAGAACATTGATGTGCTAAAGTGTGTGAAATAACTGGTTCTGAGTTTGTGAATATGAGATGAATATTTTTGAATAGCTGTACCATTTCTTATAAAGGTATGATTTAACATTTATCCGTCTGTCTCCCACCTTTAGTATTGAAATTAAATTAAGGATTTGATTACTTTTGTAATATCTGTTTTGTCATAAATACTCTAGAAAGCATAAATTATGCTGCAGCACAGCTTATTTTTTAGCAATCAGTTATACAATTTGCAAAAACAAGCCATGCAAGTCAGTACAGTTTTGAATGAAAAGTTTTAATTTGTTTAAACAGTTCATCTAAACTAGTTATGCACAAGTTTGTTTTTGAGTCATTGAGTACAGGCAAGTACATTAACATGGAATGTAGGGTGCAAAATATAGGAACAGCTGTCATGTTCACTCTATTACAACTCCATGGCTTTAATGGAAATAGGACACAGGAAAACAGCAAAAAAAAACAAAAACAATTCTATTGCTGGTTTCATTTGGTCCAGTGAGATGCTTTTCCCCATAGGGGGCGCCCTTTTATACAGTTACAGCTCCAGCACAACAATGATGCAAGAAAGCCAAAGTAACATGATTCCAAAGAACTGACAAGCATTGGCTTTCATTACTTCAACCCTCAATAATCAGTGAGAATATAAATCGGTGGTTGATGACTTCCTCTTTTTTCTTCTAAAATCTCAGTTTCTTGTACTGAAGTACACAGATGTCTTGTAGTCAGGCCATCTTACATCAGGATGTCCTGTCAGTCTGCATACAGCCAGGACAGCAGTGCAGTGTGTCATGTATGAAGAGATCACACTCCACGCAGAACACTTTTTTACATGCCAGGCAAGTAAATACCTGCAGAGAGGAGAAAACAGAGGTTAAATGCCATTTTAAACAAGCCATTCGAAAGTTTTTGAATTGGAAAACCTACACATTTGTCTTTCAACTCTCCTTGGCAGGTCTCACAGAACCTGAAAAGGCATAGATTAACACTTAAATAGGCTGAAATGAGACAGACAGAGGAGTTTTTACAGAGTGAGTGTGAAGCTCACCTCTCCCCCTCATACTCCTCCAGCGGGGTCTCCTGGAAGGCCTCCAGGGGGAAGAGGTGATGGAAGGAACGGGCCAGGTGAGGAGCGGAAACTAAAGTCAGACCTATACCAGAGAGAAGACACAGACTATGAGAACTGAACACATCAATGCTCTCTGAAAATGAGTGTAAAGATTGAAGAACAGGGACAGGCTGAGCACATACCACACACTTTACACTCCACTGGCAGCTCAGTGTATTTGGCTCTACACTGTGGGCAGTAGTAGCCACCAAGAGTGAGTCCTGGCTCACCAGTGCTGTCTAGGTGCCTAAATATATTGGAAAATGAACTATAATATTATTTCAAATTATAAATAATAGAATTATGCAATAAAGATACCATTCAAAAGTGTGGGGTCAGTAAGATTTTTTTAATTAATACTTTAATTCAGCAAGGATGCATTAAATTGATCAAAAGTGACAGAAATAGTTTGTAACGTCATAAATATCTTTACTATTTCAAATAAATGCTTTTTTTTTATTCTATTTTTTTTTAAACATCTTTAATAATGTATCAGAGTTTCCACAAAAATATTAAGCAGAACAACAGTTTTTAACAAAAATAACAATAAGTATTCTTACCTGAGCACCAAATCAGCATATTAAAATGATTTCTGAGGGATCGTGTAACACTAAAGACTGGAGCTTTGCCATTGCAAGAATAAATTACATTTTAAAATATATTCAAATAGAAATACATTATTTTAAATGGCTATATTTCATAATATAACTTGTTACTGTATTTTTGATCAAATAATTGCAGCCTTGGTGAGCGTAAGAGACTTCTTTCAAAAACATAAAAAAATAAATAAATCTGACTGACCCCAAACTTTTAAACAGTAGTGTAATATATATGTATATATTACCTATATAGTGTATAATGGTAGTGTAAATTATATTAAAATTTTAAATTTAATATTATTAAACTGTGGTAAAGAGCATAAGATTTAAACTGTACTCACAACATGCTGAACGAGGGTTTGGCATCCTGATCAGACATGGAGGCTATGACATGCTGAGGGAAACCTGAGCAAATTATGCACAATAAAAATATTGTAGAAGATCACATATGAAAAATTGTAGCTTACACTAATACAACATTTCCCAGACATAAATCAGGACTAATCCTGGACCGCTTCACATTTACAGTGCAGTGAAGACAAAAAAAAACACAAAAATATTTAAATGACAAACAGCAGAGCATTCACAGTTCTGCATAGTTCTTAAATTCTTTGGCTAATTTTTGACTAAGCTTTCAGCTACTAGTAATAAGTGTTGTACTTTCAACATTTTATCTTATTTAAATTGTGTAAATGTGGTGAAAATGACTGTGTGATTACCCATGCGAATGAGGGAGCACTCTGAGGAGGAGCTGGCAGGAGGCGGCTTCACATGCAGCATCAGCAGCTCTTTAAAATGACTCTCATCCAATATTACATTGTAGGATCCTATTGGGCCCAACATAATTAGAAAACACAAGTAAAAATCTATGTAACCATGTTAAGATAAGACTACCAACCTCCAGTTTCTCTTGTGAGAATGGTGCACACTCGAACTTCTGCTGACAGGCCTATCACAGACACTCTGATCTTCAAAGCATTCAGAGTCTGTTGATATATTAAAACATGATCACAAAGAAATCAATGTTCATCAAACCTTACAAACCCTTACAGTATGCATCCATTAGCATTATTCAAACTCACTTTGATAAGCTCATAGATGTTGGCTGGGTCACAGGTAGTAAGACTGCTGAAAATAACGAGAATCTCTTTGCTTGTATGAGCAGGCATGTGTCTGCATGAAAATAGAAATATGGTTACTGCAGTAAAGGGTTATGTAGACATTGAAGACCAGGGGTATATGGTGAGTACAAGTCCAGTACTACAACCAAACTGTAAGCAACACTGTTGCATGTCAGTTCCAGATGGAAGCGCCACACACTGACTTGTGCCTTACTTGAGAGTCTGCATAGCCACGTTGAGAGAGTTGTAGAGAGATGGTTCACCAACACATGTGGAGTCCACAGCTTTCTTCAGAGCTGCTAAATGCTTCTTAGGGTTCCCTGGTAAGAGTAAAATACCGGTAATGTCAAGTGATGATTATGATAAAGAAAACCTCTCAAAACATGCAAACATAATACTAATGCATCAACCTGCAAGATCAGTGAGCTTCTCCGCCCTCTTGTTCTTGGTGGTAATGATCCCAATCTGTGACAATACGGTACTGTTAACAGAAGCTGCACACATTGTAAACACTCACAGACAGATACAGAGTCAAGTGCATTACCTGACTGATTGGATTCTGGTCAAAGTATTCCTCCACAAAAAACTCCATCAGCTAAAGAATGCAAAAGGAAAGATCAGTTTTGACAGATTTCATAAAATGTTAGGCTTCCATACGCCACTATAGATGCAGTGCTACTAACCTTCAAGGTTGAGGTCAGCCTGTTGGGCTTCAGGTCCTGATCTTCCATTGATCTAGATGAGTCAATGATCACAAAGAGGTGCCGCATCTAGTTTGGTGGGAATTATATGCATGGTTATGATCAGCCTCCAATAACAAAAAATTATGCTATAACTGTGGAGGACAGTAAAATGCATCTTACCATCCCAAGCCGAACTTGTCCATGACCCTCAAACACTCTGTATGGTGACAGAGAGACTGCAGGTGAATATCAAAGCAATATACAATCAGCTCAAACTGATTTTTATATTTTGCATTTGAGCGCTGTACCTTTTCCTCTTTGCTTGGAAAAGAATGTCCTCCACAGTAGCTTTGAGAGATCCAGATTCATCCTCCTTCAGCACCTCCCTAAGAGAGAGACACATGTCAACAGCTCATTATAGCGTATGTGTTCTCATGTACTTTAGTAAATATTAGTGGCTGACAGTCTTGTGATGCCCCTTATTGTTTACTACTTGCTATAGTTACATAATATGCCATAGTTCAAGCTCTTGGAACCTTACAATTATTGGAATGACGGTATTGAATAACATTATTGTAAAAAATATATTTTATTAACAATAACCACTTTTTGGTGGCAATCTGAGGTAAAAAAAAAAAAAAAAA